GGACAGAGCCCGAGCTTGTAGGCAGCATCAGCCAGTCTGAGGACAGAGGGACCGAATCGTGGATGGACCAGCTGGCGGGGCCTGAGCCAGGATTGCCGCCCGACCAGAAACAGCAGCTGCACTCGTTATTGCAGGAGTTCTCGGACGTGTTCAGCCGGGGACCGTTCGACCTAGGGCGCACAAATCTGTCGCAGCACCACATCAACACGGGAGATGCCGCACCCCTGCGCCAAAACACATATAGAATGAGCCCAATGGAAAAAGGGCACATTCAACAAGCGGTGCAGGAGATGCTGCGGGCTGACATAATTTCTCCATCCTCGAGTCCCTGGGGGGCACCGGTGGTCCTAGTCAAGAAGTCAGATGGGTCACTGAGATTCTGTGTGGACTTCCGACGTCTCAATGCCGTCACACTGGCCGATGCATATCCCCTACCACGTATCGACGACTCATTGGATGCACTGGCGGGAGCAACATTTTTCAGTACGCTGGATTTATTGTCCGGGTTCTGGCAGGTCCCACTAGACGCAGACTCCCGGCCTAAAACAGCGTTCCGGACACCACAGGGCCTGTTCGAGTTCAACTGCCTGCCTATGGGCCTCCAGACTGCGCCGGCAATGTTCCAACGCATAATGGAGTTGGCCTTAGCAGGCCTCCAATGGGAAACGTGCCTCATCTACCTGGATGACGTCATTGTTTTCAGCCGATCATTCGAGGAACACATTGACTGATTACGTCAGGTATTCCTGCGGTTCCGGAACGCGAAATTGAAGCTCAAGCCATCGAAGTGCCACCTTATGCAGTCGTCGGTACGCTACTTGGGCCACGTCGTCAGTGAGTCTGGAGTGGCTACAGACCCGGAAAGGACGGTCTGCGTGAGGGCCTGGGCTGTTCCCACAACGGTTCCAGAGGTACGCCGGTTTGTGGGTTTCGTTTCTTACTACCGCCGGTTTGTACCCAACTTCGCAACCATTGCCAAGCCCTTGCACGTGTTGACGGCGAAGAACCAGAGGTTTTATTGGGGCCCTCTGGAGGAAGAGGCATTCCAGCAGCTGCGCTCATGTCTGACAGATGCACCACCATTGGCCTTTCCGGATTTTGGCCTTCCCTTTATCCTGGACATGGACGCCAGCGATGTGGGCATCGGCAGTGTTTTGTCGCAAGTCCAGCAGGGTCGGGAGGTGGTTAATCGCCTACGGTAGTCGCGTGCTTTCATCAGCGGAGCAGCGCTACTGCGTCACACGTAGGGAACTCCTGGCAGTCGTTCACTTCGTGCAGCAATTCCGACCCTACCTGTATGGTCGCAAATTTACGGTCCGCACTGACCACGCGGCCTTGCAGTATTTGCTCCGCATCGACCAGCCTTCGGGCCAGCTGGCCAGATGGATAGAGCGCCTGCAGGAGTACAGGTACCAAGTAATGCATCGCAAAGGGACCAGACACGCCAACGCAGACGCATTGTCTCGACTGGTGCCCCAGGGCCCTTGTGCATGCACTACAGGCGGGGCACGTTGCAAGGAGGCGAGGCCGGAGGGGACGGTCATCGCTCCCGTACGCACGGCGGAGGGCGCACAGGGTGAGGTCCAGCTGACCGACCACGACCTGGGGCTGAACTTGGACGATTGGAGACGGCTACAGCTGGAGGAAGGCCCACTGCAAACGCTACGTGCCTCAGCAGAGGCAGGGGCGGAGGAGTACATCGTATGGGAGGACCTCCTCATGCAATGGGACCTGACAGGGCACCGGCGATGCCTGGTAGTTCCGGAGTCGCTGCATCAACAATTGGTTATGGACATACACGGCCGCCAGCTGCTGCACTTGGCGGGGCGGAAGACACTGTACACATTACAGGGTCGGTACTTTTGGCCAGGTATGACCGCTGACGTGCATCAATGGGTCGCTTCTTGCGTCGAATGTGCGGGGCGAAAGCCGCCACCCCGGGTAAGCCGGGCGCCCCTACAGCCCATCACGGTGACCAGGGTCAACGAATTGGTTGCGTTGGACATCCTGGGACCACTGCCGGTCACGCCACGGGGAAATAAATACCTGTTGGTCGGAGTCGAGTACTGCACGAGGTGGCCGATGGTGTGGGCCCTCCCGGACCAAACGGCACAGACCATCGCCGATGCCTTCGTGGGAGGCTATGTCCTTGATAAGGGGGCACCAGAGCGGTTGCTCACGGATCAGGGCAGGAATTTCTCCTCACAGCTATTGAAGGTCCGAACATCTCCGTGTCATCCCCAGACCGATGGGATGGTAGAGCGGCTTAACCGCACCATAGTGGCCATGCTGTCCCAAGTGGTGGACGAAAACCATTCCGACTGGGACCTCCACATTCCCTCGGTCTTAGCGGCGTACAGGGTGGCCCTGCACACGGCGACGGGGTTCTCGCCGTTTTTCCTGATGTACGGACGGGATCCCATTCCGCCTATTGAGGTGCAGCTGACGGACATTCCCGCAAGAGCCGATGCATGGCCGAAGGCACTAAAGACTTCCCTCATTTATTTGAGAGAGGCCCGCCAAGCAGCCGAGGCCGCATCGGCCACGAGCCAAGAGAGTAATGTACGGATACGGGAGAGGACAGTGACAGCCAAGCCCTTTAAAGTCGGGGACCAGGCATGGCTACACTGTCCTCAGGTGCCGGTTGGCCTCTCACCAAAGCTGCACCGACCCTGGAAAGGGCCGGTCGAGGTCATTAAAGCACTCTGACCGCAGTGCGTCCAGGTCCAACTGGGTAAGCGACGATGGTTTGTACACCCCACCCGCCTTAAGCCATACATCTCTCCGCCGTCATCTTCACCAACATCACCACCAACATCACTGCCAACATCATCATCATCATCATCCCTACCCAGGCCAAGGTCGCCGACCACCACGCGCCGACCGGCAGGGGGTTCGGTGCCATGTGTTCCCTTGTCACCTACAGCACCCCATGTGAGGCCTGACGGAGCGGCGGCACGAGCGGGGGCCGGAGAGAAAGCGGCGCCAGGCAAGGCGACACCGGCACCACCGAACCAGGGACCGTGACGAGAGGGCCTTCGAAGGAGGGGGCCGCCATGGTCATCTGCTGCCTGTGGATGTCCGGGCTGTTACGGGATGCTGGCTGGAAACCTGGGCAGGCCGCGCAATTGAGTTTGTTGTGTTATATTGCATTGTATGGTTGTGGGGGGGTTAAGGGCTGTCGTCACTGTCAGTGGGGGGAGGCATGGGGAGACTTAAATGGTCCATGGGGGAGACAGAACCGAGGACGATTTTTTTTCTCCGGGGAGGGGGGGGGATGTAGGGGTGTCAGGGGAAGGATTCCCACCAATAGGAGGGTTAGTGGGAGGGGTGATCGAGGGGATATAAGGGGAGAACAGGCGGGAAGAGGGGGCCTTTGGCGGGAACAATATTGGGATGGCTGGGGACAGGTGTGGATGGGAGAAAAGGATTAAAGGACAAAACCCCTGCAATCTTGTGTCGGCTCTCCTTTACAAATGCAATGACCGACATTGGGGATGCCTTCGCCCGATAGCGGATATTGACAAGTGTCTATGGCCTAATCACCTATAATATACAAAAAAAAACCTCGTAAGATGTCAGAAAACTATGCAGGGGTTGAGGCCTCAAGAGCGAATGGATATGAGACCACCATGCATATAACAGGTGCTATAGGTTCAGAACAGGGGCCGTGGTGAATGGAACTGGGTGGTGTAGCAAAATGCACTGTTGTACTGTGTATGCTTGTATGCTCCACGCCTACAACAGCCCGCCTTGACCAGCGTGGTGAAATATACTACAAGATGGGACCATTCTTGCCAGTATCAAAGTATAAGAATAGGCTTTACCCTTCCTGGCAATAAAACAGGTGTTAAGATGTTCAAACACCAAACAGAAACCTTTTGTAAGAAATCATGTCTTCATTAACCACACGTACTTGTGGTGAACTTGCAAACAAAAACATGCTCTGGTAATATATGGAGGCTGTCTCTGGTGTAGGCCAATCAGTTTCAAAGACAATGCAAGTATGGTTACAAAATACCTACAAACCCCTCATTCTCCAGTGGTTTGTACATGTTCATGTGCACTCACTGGAATCACGATGACACGCAGGAGGAATAACGGAGCTTATTCAAATCTGAATGGTATTGTAATAAAGGTCGTTGAAGCGACTTCTGGAATCCAGTATGTATTCGTCGTTCATTACAGCACTCCTTCACGCTGCTGACAAGACAGCATGAGAGGGGTAGAAGAGAGAGAGAGACGCGCGCAGCCACGTGGCAGGCTGGACCCCCGCTCTCGCGTGGCCTCTCCCCTTCGTTCGTTCCAGTTCTGACCACGTGTTGTTCGTCTCCACCCCTATTTAATACCCGGGTCACGTGGTACGTTTCCACCAATCCTGGTTAGCCTCTAGGGAATCTTCCAGACTCCACCATAGGCTCCCGGGACCACGCCCCTGACTCGTCTCCCCATTGGCTGTTGCTAAAGCCAGCAGAACCAATACTCTACAAACAGCTGTCACCTTTCCATTATGTCAGGGTCACGCTCCTAGGCTTCCCCCCATTGGCTATGGACCAGGACCGGCAGAGCCAATCATCGTGACGAGTTGTAATCCATCAACGACCCGGATATAACCTCACATTACATTATCATCATCAGCCATGATAAATCTACTGCTGGATGAAGACCTGAAGCCACCGCCATCTCTGCATTTCAAGCATTAATCTGCATGCTTTAAATTTTTTGTAAAAAAAAACAACAACCGTGCTTCGTCATTAATAAACATCTTTCAGAACCATATATCATAGCAGCAGGTAGAAGCTATTTTTTGTGGCAGTTCAAGAAACACCGGTTAAAGCCCTGGGCAAAACTTTTACGAAATATTTTGTTTGTGTCGTGGTTTGCGTCTTGCTACAAGCACGGCCTGGAGTCTTGAGTGGATGTCAGGGGCATGATGAACGACACACGAACCATGACATTTGTTCCTCCTCCTCTGCTCCCTCCCTCCCTTTCTGTCCCAGTACTTCAGGGATCGGCTGGAAAGCGTGCAGAACGAGAGCAGCATCAACGGAAGCCTCGTCAGCAACGGGAGCCTCGCCGCAAACGGCACCCAGCAGGCGCAGTGGACGGACAGCGTCCTCGCGAAACGCTACGACGGGGCCATGACGCTCGTGTCCATGGTGGCCATCTTCATCGCCTCCGTCCTCACCACCCTCGTGCAATCAAGGTGAGCCGATTGGCACCGCGTGGACCCCGCGCACGCCTGTGCCAGCCTGCGGCCACGTGCCCGCCCAGTAGTGGAGCGTGGCAGCCGTGGACACGGCCTTTTTTATGTCTAAGTTTGTTATCCTTGCCCCACGCTCAATCTTCGATTAGCATGGTTGGCTAGTTCAACATACGTACCACACTAGACTATACCCTACTATACACTATACTCTACAGTACACACACTACGCTATACACACACTACACTACTAGACACTAGACCACGATACTAGCTTGAAAACGCATCTCATTAGATACTGCTTTTTGTGTTTAGTTTTCTGTCCTTCCCCTGCACCTCCGATTAGCGAGGTTAGCTCGGTAATGTGCGAAAGAAGTTCGACAAACATGCATATTTAAAGCTGCGACAGGCAAAACTTACTAAAACTGTTTTTTATTAATTTTACCAGGTAAGGCCCACTGAGCTAGTAGCTCTTTTTCGGAAGCGACCTGGCCACAAATGATACCTCAACCAAGTGGCTTATCATGTGGACATTTATAGCTGCCAAATACTCTAAACACATGCTTCTAAATGTGGAGGGGAAAATTGCAAGACCCGGAGTAAAATGCAAGCGACCACGGGGAGAGAGACACACAAACTTCAAATATACAGAAGGCGTTAAGGGTCGGGATCGAACCCACGACCTCCTGCATAACAGGCGAGGTAGTTAACATCTCGCCACCGTGGCGCCCCAATAAATGTTGTGAAGGCATTTTTAGTCTCGCCGATTTGATGAATGATTTACCTTGTTATGGTATTATACTGAATGGCGTTTCACACATACACTCCTTCCTTCTGCTGTTTCCCTTTGCAGAGTGTCTGCCAGGGTACGCATCTTGATTGGCCTGTACGGAAACCTGGCCATGTTTGTGCTGACAGCAGTGCTGGTGTGGGTAAAGATGCTGTCCCCGAAAGATTTTTTCATCATCACCATAATAAGCGTGTTCATCATCAATAGTAGGTCCCATCGGGGAGCACACGCCCGCAGCTGCAATAGTCGTTGCTATTCGTTACTCAATTGTTTTGCAAAGCTATTTTTGTATTATTGTAGATTGCCCTCCAGACATATCCAAAGTTAATCGGCTCATGTTCATTGCTCGCTAAGACTCGCGGGATGGCAACATCCACAAGCATTTTATGCCATTGCTGCTTATACTGGAACGAGTCATGCCACAGAATCGCTTTTCATTCCATTCTTATAGTTTTACACGTGAACAATGGAATAGTATATTTAATTGCAGAGATCAGCGTAATGACAATGTTACACGCCTGGAACGCAGAATGGTCTCCAAGCATGAACTCGGGAGATACATCAATTTAGTAGAGTGGGTTTCTGTGCACAGCTCATTTCTCAAATGTATCTGGGGTTTACCAGCGTGCACTTCTGCTCGGAGGCCAACGCTTTAAAATTTTGTTCAGTCTCTTTTACATTTCTATTCATCGATCGGTCGCTGGCAGGTTGCTGAGGAAAGGGTCGGATCCAAACAGCAGTAATATTATTGGGCAGATGGTCTGCCACGCGTTCCCAGGCTACAGCAAAGCACTTTCATCTTAAGCACGGCAATAATCCGTGAATCTCCCCAAAAGTCCAACTGACGATTCAAAACCAAAAGCCAGCATCTCCCGCGTGATGCTCAAAATATCTGCACGATAAAAAAAGAAACTATCTCGAAATTGCTTTTTTTTTCTGACAGAGAATTCGGTCGATAGGTGACGCTCTGGAAGGAATTTATTTGCGGACCTGCGCGAGCCAAATTTTACAGCCTTCTAAATCGGCAGCTACAAACAATACAACAAAGCGACGTTCTCAAGACTCTAAAAGCGAAAAAGAGCGATTGGCTGAAGTGGAAACAACAATCGAGTCAGGTGCAATTCTATTTTTAGGAGCGGAACAGAAAACGGCAGGTGCAAGAAAAATGTTGCGTTGACGTTTTAAAACTTTGCGATTGGCAAACCTGTCACAGAGCTGCCTATTTCTAGATTTATTTTTAATGAAAGTAGCATTGCATCATGACATATTTCATGAATCTTGTGTTCGGTAACTTCGGTTATATACCTTTCTGTTTTGGTCTCGGTTGAAAGTGAAGTTAAACTTTCGGTTTCGGCTTCGGTTTTGGCCGAAAGTCAATTTTTTACTTTCGGCCTGGTTTCGGTTTTGGCCGAAACCAGAAATTCAGTTTCGGTCGGCCTCTAGTCCTGGGCCCCATCTAGATGGACTCAGCCTTGATTGAATACCTGGTGGTGTGTGTCGTGTACCGACATCGACACTGGGAACACCTCGGCGTCTGTTTGGTGATGCTGCCCTTTGATGTGCCCCGCACCTCCGATTAGCACGATTGGCTACGTGCGGCGCAAAAAAAGTTCAACACACATTGTTTAGGTTGTTGTCCTTCCACCGCACCTCCGATTAGCACGGTTGGCTACGTACGGTGCGAAAGAAGCTCAATGAACACAAATCGTATACAGGCCACGACAGCTGCTCACACTGTCTCCAAATGTCTCCACAGATAACAGCGGACCCTATGTGTTTCGTGCGTGTACGTGTGCACAGTGTTTGGTGCGGTGTTTGAGGCCAGCCTGTTCGGCCTGGCGGGTCAGTTCCCCACCAGCTACATGACGGCCGTGATGAGCGGCGTGGGCATATCCGGAATGTTCACGGCCCTGGCCATGATCTTCGCTCTCCTCGGTAACAAATGTCGGACGCACGACATCACATTGGGAAGGGGTCCAAGCCAAAAGTGGGACGCGTTGGCTGGGAACGGTGGGTGGAGGGTGTGGGTGGACAGTACAACGTCAACTGTGAAACCCGCTGCTTTCTCTCTATCTTGCAGGCAGCAGCGACAACAGCTCGGTGGCGTTCTGGTATTTCGTGACGGCCTGCGTCATAACCGTGATCACCATCTTGTGCTATGTGTCGCTCTCCCGCCTGGTGGGCCCCACCGCAGCGCCGCACGTGGCACCGCCGCCGCCACACGACAAACACCGCGCGCCACATCGATCCTCCACGCAGCCGCTAGTCAGCGAGGACCCGTCACGGCTAGCGTGGCACATTGGAGGTGGAATATGAGGATCCATGCATGCTCAGCCTCCTTTGTCTCCCAACCGGTGGTGGCAGTGGTGATGATGTCGATCATATTTTCGATTGGGATTATACGGCAGCAATAGTCGCTCCCTACTGACAGACGAACGCCGGTCGCAGTCCAGGTGCTGTCCCTTTGTGCCGGCACAGGGACAGCTGCCATCGGGGGTGCCCTTCGAATGGTTTGAGATGTCACGTGAAGCACTTTTGAGTTTTTTTTTTAGAGCTGTGTAAATTAAAATAAGATGATTATCACATCGTCATCAATCATCAGCCTGTATTTTGACGTATTGACAGCACACCAGTGCAGCATAACACACCGGTCCTTATAAAACAGTAAAAAAAAAATCTAAGTTTGAATCAGAAAATCTGTCGCCAACTTTGATGCGATTCGAAGGTTTATTCAGTCTATTGAGACTTTCTCAAGAAGGTCAATATTGACCGTTGATTTGGGTCTGTTAAATCCAGGAACCGTCCGACCAGGTCTAGGGCACGAGGTGTCAAATCTTGCCTTTGGAAGGCGGAGCGAGCCAATCGTCATCTGGCTGGGTGGTGCTATATGGCAACAGACTGTGCAGCTTCGTGTTCAGCCGCTCACAACATTCGTTTTCCTACTGCTTCGACATCACCCGCAAGATTTTCTGACCGGGTTTGCGGATCGCGGAAATGAAATAATTATTGCAATTTTTTTTATATGGCCGCATTCCTGTCATTGCCACATTGATTCATGGACTCGAAGCTGCATCTAGTGTGAGCAGTCTGCCTCTGCTCCTGTGTTACATTTGTGGTATCAATTCAATTACCATCTTTTTTCCCCAGTCAATGGCCATTATCTTAGACCGCCGTTCTTCTAGGTTCAATTAAATCAGTGCTACTTGTGGGATGTAATAGGCGGTTGTTGCACAGAAACACTTGCATCCTACCACTCAGGGCTATACCAAATGGAGATGCTTACCGACCAACAACTCTTTTGTACATGCACACCAATTGCTACTGCCCTTGAAACGGTTGAACACATAATGGCAGTTGCAGCATTAATACACGTGAATGGGGCTACCTTCTCTCTATGTTTCACCACTTGCGTTGATCGTCCAATGTCCCATTGCTCTTTTGCAGAGGTTCTCCATTTACTACTTGATGGAAGACATCAAAGTCCAAATCGAGGAAAACGTCAGTAGCATCGAAGGTAGTATGTCCTTCGGCTGTTCTCTGTTTGAAGAACCTCTTTTTTTCCCTCAATCCGCTCAATATCTCTGGCGTGTAACATTTTCAAACTCAAACTTGATTTGATCTATTTTATACTTACGTGACTTTACCGAAAGAACCAAAGAGTATAATTTAAAACCCTCCCGTTCAAGTCACGATGTTACAAACAGACGCATTCTGTGCGTTCTTTTGACAGCAGGAAAGATGAATGATTAAGCTGCTGGAAGAATGCCCCTCGTAGAAGAGAGATTGCTGAAATTAGTACAATGAAGAAAGCGGAGCTACTTTGTACACATTCCATCAGCCGCAGGTTGCATGGGATGTGCTTGGTGCTATGTTCATGATAGGATGTGAATTTTGGGACGTGCATGATGTGATGTGAATGATGGGATGTGAATGATGGGAGGTGCATGATGGGATGTGCATAATGGGACGTGCATGATGGGATGTGCACGATGGAATGTGCATGATGAGATGTGAATGATAGAATATGAATGATGGGATGTGAATGATGGGAGGTGCATGATGGGGTGTGCATAATGGGACGTGCATGATGGGATGTGCATGATGGGATGTGCATGATGGGATGTGAATGATGGGATGTGAATGATGGGATGTGAATGATAGAATATGAATGATGGGATGTGAATGATGGGATGTGCATGATACGATGTGAATGATTGTATGTGCATGTTGGGATGCGTATAACGGGATGTGCATGATGGGATGTGAATGATGAGATGTGCATGATGGGATGTGTGTGATGGGATGTGTATGATGGGTCGTGCATGATAGGATGTGAATGATTATATGTGCATGTTGGGATGTGAATTATGGGCTGTGAATGATGGGCTGTGAATGTTGGGATGTGCTTGATGGCATGTCAGTGTTGGGATGTGAATGATGGGATGTGCATGATGGGATGTAAATGATGGAATGTGATGATGGGATTTGTATGATGGGATGTGAACGATGGGGTGTGCATGATGGGATGTGAACGATGGGATGTGCGTGATGTGCATAGCTGCATGCGGCTCTTCAACGCTGCATTGCGGCTCTTTAAATATTGAGGTTTTTTACTACCGAATTCGAAAAAAATGTCCCTTATTGTTATTTTGGTTGCCGACCCCTGACCACAGAAGTCCAGTTTACCTACAGGCTTGTTGGAAGCCACGAGTGTAAATGAGAGCATACTAGGTCCTTAAGCCAAGATAAGACTTGGTACATGAAACATCCACACTATGTACGAGACATCAAAGACAGCCCAAGTCCTCTATAAAATGAAGAAATTACCACGTGGCGCAAGACCGTGAAGGACGAGCTGGTAACAGTGATGGACCTCTCTTGGGGCAAGGCTCAACTTGTTGCCAAGGACAGGAAGAAGTGGAGGGAACTCTTTGCGGCCTTGTCCCATAGGGGATGAAGATGATTAACTAACCAACTAGTCGAGTTTACCATGGAAGTCCAGTTTACCATGGGAGTCCAGTCTACCATGGAAGTCCAGTTTATCATGGGAGTCCAGTTTACCATGGGAGTCCAGTTTACCATGGAAGTCCAGTTTATCATGAGAGTCCAGTTCATCATGGGAGTCCAGTTTACTATGGAAGTCCAGTTTATCATGAGAGTCCAGTTTACCATGGAAGTCCAGTTTACCATGGAAGTCCAGTTTACAATGGAAGTCCAGTCTACCATGGGAGTCCAGTTTACCATGGAAGTCCAGTTTATCATGAGAGTCCAGTTTACCATGGAAGTCCAGTTTATCATGGGAGTCCAGTTTACCATGGAAGTCCAGTTTACCATGGAAGTCCAGTTTATCATGAGAGTCCAGTTTACCATGGAAGTCCAGTCTACCATGGAAGTCCAGTTTACAATGGAAGTCCAGTCTACCATGGGCAGGAGTCAGCAACTTGCCGCTCCAGAACCGCATGCGGCTCTTTAAGGATTGTTTCGTGACGTCTCATTTTCACCACACAGTGCATTGTGGCTCTTGAAATGTAGATCTTTTTTTTACCGAAATCGAAAAAAATGTCTCTTCTTGTTACTTTGGTTACCGGCCTCTGTGCTAAACGAATGAACTAACTTCTCAAACCCTCATCCACATCTCTGTTACATACTGCCTGGCCATTTGGTCCCACGCAGACCTTCCTGAATCCATGTTGAGCAACCCTTGTGGATGGGGGCGGTGTGTGTGGTTACTACAACAACAACACATAGCGAGTGAAAGGTGTGGCAGCAACGTTTCCACTCCGTTCCGCGATGTGCGTGCTAACCGTAAACAAAAACACGCGGCCCGTCCGTTTCACAGTGGAAGTTAAATATCTCGTGACGTCATTCTCAAAATTAGGTGTCGTTGGTCCAAATTTGTCTGCATATATATATAAATAAACACGCTTTAATGAAATGTACCGTACTCGTAATGGCAGAACTCCACGACTCCTGTAAGTGGTCGCAAAGCTTGCCATAACGTAAGGGACCGTGGTGATTTACAGTCAATGTCAGTTGAGCGTGGACAATTAGTCCCAAGCTGAAACATAACATATAAAAATGAATGTTTAAAAATACTTTTTTTTTGGATAGAATATATTGTCATCAGTATGACATAAGTATACCAAGTTTGCAGTCGATACCACATTGGGAAGTGGGTTAAAATTTAGTTACAATATTTGAGGATACGACGACAACAACAGAGTAAGTTAATAGAAAGCGTGTCATAATGAAAAAATGTGCCCCTAAATTTACTCAGTTGGAACCTACGTATCAATCACCCCGTCCTACTGCAAATACTCAGCATGACCCCGGGATAATTCAAACAAGTATAATTCAGTATAACGGGTGCTTCACCAAACATCACTTGCCCCAACAGTATGTTAAGCCTTTCTGGTGGATCTTTGTCTTTGCAGATGAGCACAATGGAGAGTTTCAGGATGACACCATGTGCCCGGACAACAAACACATCTTAAATGTTTGCCAAAGCCTTATCAGAAAATGTGCCATCATGAAACAGGTCTGTTGTACTCTGTGATTTAAACAAGGGTTCTAAGATATACCATCCCATGTCTACGTACATGTGTAGTGCTTGAGACACGCGTCACGCGCTGGGTCAGTATGCGCGCATGTGGCGGACAGTGAGGGCGAATGAGGACACGGGGCACTGATTGGCTGGCCGTTGTTGTTGCCCAAATTAAGGTGGCGTGATGGTTAAGGGGGCTGCAGGGCGCTGATTGGACGAGAGGGGTTGTTGTCCGAGATTGGCGCCGGCGTGTCTGGAAAAACAACGCCACGTGCCACGGGGGGCTGGGGGCGAGTGGCGTCGCGGGGGATGACCTAATTAATTAGCGGAAATTGGTTCGGGGATAAAGTGTGAGATGGTGGAGTGAAACGGGAGTTGGTGCCTGGGACGAGAGACGAACGGATGGAGAGACGGAGCAGTGGATAGAGTGAGTACAGCGTAGGGTAGCAGTGGATAGAGTGAGTACAGTGTAGGGTAGCAGCGGAGTAACGGAAGTATTAGAGGAGAGAGACGACGGAGAGTTACGTCGGAGTGGGACGACGGAGTTGATAAAGAGCAGCCGAGCTGGAGAGAGAGAGAGCGGAGAGGAGCGTCGACGGAGGAGCAGAGGGAGCGAGCGAGGCCAGCGGAGCGTGGCGAGCGAGCGGAGGAACATTGTGCGGTGTTGACGGAGAGTTGTGGGTTGGAGTGTATGGAGGAACTTTGAGCGGTGTTGGCGGAAGAAATGTGGAACTATATAATTGAATAAAGAAACGAGGAAAGACAAGAAGCTGTCGTGTCGGTCCAAGCACTACACATGCAATGCTATTTCAAGAGAATACCCTCTGGGCTGGTAATTGCAAGACAGACATAATTATTTGTATGGTGTACTGTTGCAGAAATTACGCAATTGACAGGCACGGCAGTGTGTGTTGAACATAAAATGCTACTTCGGTGGTCAAAAGGAGGGAGAGTATGACATTGTATTGGGACCAATCATTGTATTCCTCGTGTAATATGATCTAAGCACTCTATGTACGTATGTTGAACTTCTTTCGCGCCGTACGTAGGCAACCGTGGCTAATCGGAGGTGCGGGGTAGGACAACAAACCAACCACACAAAAAAGTAGCTATCAAGAAATGAGTTTTCAAACTATATTTAAGGGTGCATAGCTCCCAGTGGCTTCATAATATCGGAAGGAAGATCGTTCCAGATGGCTGCAGAAGCGCACCTGAAAGCGCGCGATTGGGTGACCGTTTTTGTTCGATGGCCAGCCAGAAGCTGCTGAGAGGATGACCGAAGCTCTATACGCATGCGCGTACTTCGCCTCAACGAGTACCTCGTGTGATGTGTAAACATCGCCACTGGGGAGACAAAGGTGGCATGGAATGGTGTTGGCCACGCACCTCGTCATGTAGCGTGCTGGCCTTCATAGGTGATCGCTAACAGCACTTGCCCCAAAATTCTGTTAAAAGGCTATACGGGGGATCTTTGTCTTTATAGTCGGCGTGTAAGATTCACTCCGTGTATGGACAATTACAGCTCCTTTGTCAATCCAATGCTGGATGAGGGTGTCACCCCACTGTCAGTGCGGAGTGGTGAAGGTGGGGAGCAGAGCATAGAAGCACAGCACAACCATGTATTTTGTGGCACTACCCACCCCCTAAATATTTGCAGTCACAATTCTATCTAAGAATCAATTTGTCTTTTGGTGATGTACTTGCAGCACCTGAAGTCATATAAGATATAAGGATATAGCCTAGCCTAGGAATCTACAAACAAAACTGATCCCTTAAATGACTGGCCTGCCATCTGCTTTCTGCAATATATCTTTGATACTGACAATGTTTTGCTCCCTTGTATATAACCTCAAAACTGGTGGAATGGCCTTATCGTACTGTTATCTTGTGTGAAGTCATTTGAGCTAAAACATCCCATGGTCAACAATGGAGTACCACTTGCCTTGCGTAGGAATGTGGAATTTCCATTTCTGGCCCAGGTCTAGGGATGAGCACTGCTCCGTTGCTAAAGAGAAGGTGAAACCGTGATCGTGTTTGACTCCCTTTTCACGAGAGAGTTTTCCTCATGTGGCTTTGATTGTCAATGCAGTCTGTTCTCTTATAACGCCGCATGTCATTTTCATAACGCGAATTTGATATAACGTGGTGGATGTTTTCGGGAACACATTTTCTTTTTTATAACGCAATGCAAATTGGATATGACGCGATCGAGCGAACGCAACTACGTCGCGCAAGTAGGAATAAGCGGTCGTACAGCTGCCTCGGCGTAACATCATCGCACAAGGTAGTGGGATGCTGCTGGATATTCTAGATGCTACCCACGCGCCTCAGTCTTTGTTCGGCCTGTGTACGCATCTCACGTGTTATCGCGGACTGGGCCTTACCCCTATATTATGATTTAATAGAATGCATTTTTTGCTATAACGCGGTGTTCTTCAGGAATGCAACTACTGCGTTATAGGAGAACACGACTGTTCATGTTAAATGCGTGTCCGTCTGCGTGTCCCTGCGTGTCTGCAGATCTGGATGCCGGCCTTCTCGGTGTGCTGCGTGTTCTGGATCACCTTCACCCTCTTCCCAGCCATCACCGTTCGCGTCGACACCGTCACTGACGATAGCAAATGGAGTCAGTTGATCACTCGCAGATTTTTCTCCTCAATCCAAAATAAAATCCCAAACAAATATTGCCAAATAACTCGATATGTTTGCGTGTATGTTGAAGTTATCTCGCACTGTACGAAGCCAACCATGCTTATCGGAGGTGCGATGTCTGGTTTCCCTAGGCAAGGCCAAGATGACACGCGCACACCACGTTTCATTCATCCGCTTCCCTTAACTGTGCATTGTCCTACTGTTAATTCATCTCTCATAAACACTTCTCGACCCTTACGATGTTGTTTGTCCACCTAACTGAACACACGCACGCACACCCGTGACACCACACCTGAACACTGCATCAGTGCTACAGAGCTCGATATGAATTCCGCCATCAGCAATGTTGTTGCGTCATTTAGTCGCAGAAGGATCTGAGCATGTGTTAATAACAGAACTGTAATTTTATAAGCCTGAGCCCTTTCCCTGTCCTTGTTTAAAGTGACATCTTCGCGTGGCTCTCAGAGCCTTTAATTTTTTGTTGTTGCCAGGTAAGGCCCACTGAGCGATATAGTTATTTTCAGAAGCGACCTGGCCACAAATGACAGCTCAGTGAAGTGGCTTATCACAGGGAAATTTATCGGAGCCAAATACTCTAAACGCGTGATGTTGATTCTTAATGTGGAAGGAAAACCCGGAGGATCCGGAGAAAAACCAACGCGACCACAGGGACAGAGAGAGAATGTGTAAACTCCAAATTAATTTTCATGAATTTACCCGAGCACAGACAAACTTGCTAATATGGGGATTGTGAAATCCTGGTCCACGATCCAAGACAAAACTAAGTTCAGCATCAGAGCGACGCTCAACAGAGATGCCGTGCATTGGCCTCTCATGCTCACGCTTGCCCTCCCTTCCCCCCGCCCCATCACGCACACAGATACATTTTTCCAGCCAGTGTGCGGCTTCCTCGCATTTGGCTTCAGTGACTTCGTGGGGCGCAGCCTCCCGGCCCTCTACATGTGGGTGAGTGTTAGCCCCTTTACACAGTGCCACTCTTGCACGTCTTTAACCCACTGTTGTTTCATGAAAGAAAAAAATATGCCTTGTTCACATCTCTCTTTCTCCGCTAAAAAAAAAAAATTTTAGACACATACCATCGGCCACACGGCATTCTGGGAGTGCATCATTTCAGCAGCATTCGGTTCAACAAAAGTCAGGTAAATTTTATTATTGGTTCGACATGTAGTGCCTTTCTGGCCCAAATCTGGCAACCCCAAAGCGCCATCACCACATTAATGCTCAAACATCAAAATAGACAAGGAAACTTTGGACATGTGGTGTCTCTCCAAGCAGAGTCACGCTCGCTTCAACCAATCCTGTTGAGCTGCCAGATGTTGTACGGTCAAGGGTGCCCCTCTCTGTTAGATACGGGTCCATGTCCAATGTGAACGTCTAACGCTTTTAAATCTTGGCTTAAAGCTTTCGTAACTGCAGGAATTCATATTCTTTGGATCTTTCGGTAAAGTCACGTAGATAGGTTAAAAGAAAATGATAAATAACAATAAACTACGACGTTTCGATCACAACACAAGTGATCGTCATCAGGAGGAAAAAATATGGGGAAAGCTGCTGAGGCAGACTGTTTTAAAGGTTTAAAATGGGTGTAATGAAGTGGGCGGGGCTAGTGATGTTAATGTGAGAAATTAGCATGTTCATCGAAGGTCCCAGAGCAGCAACGTCGAGCTCAGCGAGCGAGGTGGCTGTGTTAGTGTAGGAAATTTAACCTGTTAATGTAAAATCAGAGATCCGAAAATAACAACTAACATCGGAAGGTGGTAGGATGGAAACAACACAGCCAGTTATGACAAACTGGTTGATAACGTCCTTTCAGTGATTGCTCAGTTTATACCCATCTTCTAGATTTAAGTTGTGTCTGTGTCTGTATATGTGGATGGCTTCATGAACGTGTGAGCCCACCGCATTAAAACAATGATCAGCCACGGCCGAGGTATTGGTCCTACCATGTTTCAGATCTGCCTTATGTTCACGAATTCATTCCGAGACATGTTGCTTAGTTTCCCCAATGTAACTACTGCCGCAGACACAGCTTAGTTTGTAGATGCCGGGGTATTGCATGTCAGGGATCACATCCTTCACAGATGGGATCAGATCACGAATTTTACGTACTGTATTAAATCGAACCTGGATCTTGTGTTTTCTCATGATCTTGGAGATCTTTTTGGTGACCCCTGCTTTGTATGGCAAGGTGATGGTTTTGATTGGTTCTTTCCCAACGGTTGGGGTGATAGCTTTACGGATTGTGTAGTCTGAATATCTATTCATCTTGAGAGCTTGGTGTACGTGTTTCAGTTCACTGGCTAGTTGATGATGGTCGGAAATACATCAAGCTCTATGGTGGAGAGTTTTGATAGGGTAATTCTTCTGGGAAGGATGGTGGTGGGAGTCAGGTTTTAGATATGTGTAGTGAGTCCAACTTAGTCGAAGACGTTGTCTTAGGCGCAACACTATTTATTACATCAACTCAACACAACGTAATGTAACCTACACTCGGGTGTTGAATGCCCATCTAACTACGCTACGGCAGAACTAGACATGGTCCCACTATCCCAGTCAGGACCACGAGCTGGGTCGCGGACCGTGTGGCTACAGGCTTCTTCAACCCGACGTGAATCTTCACTCACCAACAGTCAAGAACCCCGAGCCCCGGGCTGGGGCTGGCTCTACCTCTCGCCCCTCCCACCTTCTCGATCTCTCTGGCCCTTTCCCGAAGGCTTCCGAGAGCTCTTCTATACCACATGACCACCCAGCGGCCCCCGTCCACCGGTGGCCCCCCTCCAATATTATCCGGTCACGTGTCGGCAAGTTCAAGTTCATTTTTTAGGTATAGCCCTGTGAGCCATTCGGCTCTTGAATCGGGTGCAACCGCAACAACCAAAAAACTAAAACATGAACAAGAATACAACTTATAGTGACTATGGGCAAACAAAAAATCCAAGAAAAGACAGCAAAAAATTGCAGAAAAAGCACCGTACACCAACACTGTGTGCAAAAATCCCAGTGGGATGCAAGTCAAACAACAAAAACCACAAGACAACTTAGATTAAGGCCATCAGTCTAACTCTGCACTACAACAAACAAACATGGCCAAACCAAAAAACTTTTCGAAAATCACCAAAATAAAGCCATAAAAGCAATGAAACAGTGGTCATAGGAACTGTGACCGAATTTTCACAATAAACAACGTAAACCACATGTACTACCAAACTCTGCAGCTATAGCTGGCTGCATGAGTCACTCCACAACAATAGGAGCATCAGTCGGAGTATCAACATTTTTCAATGCACCTTTAAGATCAGCACACTAAATCAAAACACAGATCATGCTTTGCAGCGATCATCCGGAGCGAAACATTGTATTTTAGGCCACTAAATTGCAGTGGCAGCTAGGGGTGTACAACTCCTCTAGAGCAGTTTTGAGTGAAGATCTCATAGGTAGTGATTCAAGTTGCAGTTTATTGGCAATAGCATTCCAGACCCTGGGGGCATAAATAGCAAAGGCCCTTCCAGTATTTGTACGGCAATAGGGAATGTGAAGCTGGCAAATGAGCGAAGACCTTAGGTCAAATTTGTTCTTTGAAACAGAGACGAGATCCAGCAGGTAATCTGCGGATTTTTTTGTAAGTACATCATGAATAAATAAGATCTGATGCACTAGCCGTCGAACATTGAGAGATGTTAAGTTTGACCCAATGTAGAGATCACAGTGGTGAGTCCTATATGGGCAGTTCAATGCAAGGTCAACCAGCGTATCATGCCCCAACGTAACCCTGGCTGGCTGAAACTCTCTCTCACTCCCTCACTGGGAACCCGCACCGCACACTGTACAGGGTGCCTCTGCGCTAACCAGCGCTCACCCAAGCCCCGATAGGGTTGGTGCTACGCAAGTAAGCGGGCTGCACATAATGACAACATATTATCTGCTGTGGCCTCGCAAGTCCGGCACCATACAGTGACATTCACAGTCACTATATATGCATCTGTATGGGTGGTTTTCTTGTAGACAGAGTGTCCCATTGAGCCACCTGGACTCCTTTCGATTAAAACATCCAAGAATGGTAGCTTGCTATCCTTTTACACCTCCATGGTGAATTTGATGGCTGGGTGTATGGAATTGATGTGGTTGAGGATTTGATTGAGCTGGTCGGCCATGTGGCCGGATGACGAACGTGTCATCTACGTACCTCTTCCACAAGGATGGGCGTAGAGTGGATGCCTGGATGGCGTCTGTTTCAAAATTTTACGTGAAAACATTGGATACAACTGGAGATAAGGGAGAACCCATTGGGGTACCTTCAACTTGTTTGTAGAAAGTTCCATTCCAGGTGAAGTAAGTGTTGGTGAGGCAGTGTCTCACCAGGGCCGGTACATCAGCATTCAGTCCTTGTTGGACCAAATTTTCAATGATTGCAATGGTGTCAGGCACATGAACGTTGGTAAACAAAGACACTACATCGAAACTAACGAGCAAATCCCCTGCAGATAGTGAGATGTCCTTAATTAACGATACCAAGTCAGCTGAGTTAAGTACAGTTGAGGTGGTCTTACCAGTGAATGGTTGTAAGGTCTCAGACAGAAATCGGGCCAGTTTGTAGGTAGGTGAGTCAATGGTGGAGACGATAGGACAAAGGGGTGTACCTTCTTTATGGATTTTTGGTAAGCCATACAATCTGTGTGGCCTATCAGCAGAGGGGTTTAAGGAAAACCGCTTGGTTGGTACAATTAGGGTAACTAAAAGTGATATGGTGAATAGGGTTGTGGTAAAGAGAGGGCGGTTAGTGGGTACCAAAATTCCGGGGGTGCCTAGGGATGGAAGGATGGGCCAGGGAGAAGAGGTGGGGGTCTTGAGGGAGGAGCGGAAACTACACAGGGATGGTGCTTCTCACTTAATGTGGAGGCAAGTTTGTTCCAGTGCAAGGGGGGTGAGTAGGGAAAAGGAGCAGAAACGGGAATGGGCACAAAGAGAGGGGGGAACGGTGAGAAGTCGGAGAGATTGAGAGTGGAGCGGGCGGGAGGCGACATTAAACGAGACGAGGGAAGCGAAGTAAGGTGGGGCAAGGCCACGAAGAGATTTAAATACCAGCATAAGAAGTTTGATTAGACACCTGTAGTAGGTGAGGAGCCAGTGCATTTCAATAAGAAGGTGCAGGAGCAGTGTGGTAGGTTGTAAATGAAACGTGCAGATGAATTTTGGATCTGTTGCAGTGGAATGAACGCATATGCTGGGAGATCGAGTAGGAGAGCGTTACAGTAGTCTTGCTGAGGGAAGATGAGTGAGTGTATTAGTAGTTTGGTGGTGGACTGAGTGATGAGAGGATGTATTTTGTGAATGCTGATAAGGTGGAAACAACAGGTGTGGGTGATGGCAGAGATGTAAGAGACGGGGGAAAGGGAGGAGTCAAAGAGGACACCAAGGTTGTGGCAGAAGGGACAGGGGTGAGTGAGAAGGGTGGGAAGGTAATGGTGGGCTGAGTGGAAAGAGCAGTGGGGTAAAAGAGAACCTGGAGTTTAGAGGGGTTGATGGCTAGGAAGTGAAGTGACATCTAAGACTGAAGGGCGGTTAGGCAGGCGGAAATGCGAGAAGAGAGGTCCAGAGTGAAAGTGGAAAAAGAGAAGAATATTTGGATGTCGCTGGTGAAGAAGTGGTGGAAGAAGTTAAAGGTGGAGATGAGTGTGTTTCGAGAGGGGAGAAGTGGATATGGAAGAGAAGGGGGCCCAGGTCAGAGGCTTGGGGAACACCTGCTTTGACGGGTGAAGGAGGGGTGTAGGGGTGATTGAAGGAGACCGAGGATGAGCGTGAAGAGAGTTACGATTGGAACCAGTTGGATGATGGACAGTGTCAAAAGCCCAGGAGAGGTCGAGGAGAACGAGGAGTGAGGAGAGAAGAGCGTGGAGCTGAGTTGATCACGTGGTTCTGGATGGTAATTAGTGCAGTTTCTGTGGAGT